TAAAGAGCACACGTCTTTATTTTTGCTCCTTCCATTGTTTATGGTCCAGTGTCCATTTCTACATTTTGGTTAAGTTACCTCTTCTCAGTTGTAGTATATAAACAGCTACATGTCCAATAAGATCATTTGTGCTATTTGTATCTTATCTTCCTCGATAAACATTCATATGATATTATGTATGGAGGGAGTATCCTTGACTTTCCTAAACTTTGACGTATATACACTTGACATTCAGTATTTCTTTCCAATAAACCATAGCTGGACTAATACTACAACTATCAAGCATTGTATGATTGTCAATACGTTTATACGCCCTTCTGTTAGTATAGAATCTTCTGATTGTCAAGGTGAAAACCAATCACAATGTAATTTATCAATTCGTTACTGTACTCCGGTGCAGCTACTTTCTACGTGAAAAGAGGCTGGCATTCACTTATTATTTGCCTTTTATAGCCTTTTCATCACACTTTCCATAATTATTTCCAATACTGTATATACATCTATATATTGTGAATGTGTTGATTTGTAACATGGCGACTAGATCGTTGAAAATGTCCTCAACTAGGTCAAGAAAACCACAATGTGAATTCTTGGGAATTGTGTATTAACAGATAGACAACTACAAAGGACAATTCATCAACACTTGACATGCTTAGCAGATTATCTATTTGCACACTAAACTCAAGTACCAGTAGATCAAACTTATATGTCTGTAGAAGTGGAAATAACTAAAAAACGAACAACGAAAACTCGTTGTCTAACTCGTGAGTTTAGACTTGATATACTGCAGCTCAATATATGCTGGTGTCACATGTTTACAATACTTTATATGACTGTATATTACCAACAAATCATCAATACAGCCTTGTACATTCAATATCATGTGACTGTTGCATTCCATCATATAATGGTAAGTTATTGTTAATAGAAGTTATGCTTTGGTTTGATTTGTTTTGAATTTAACGTAAAGCTACACAAGGGCTATCTGCGCTAGCTGTCTCTAGAGGGAATATTCTAGAATACTCCACTATTTCTGTAGATACAAACTAAAATCCTGTTTGTCTTGCTATTAGCAACAGCACATTGCTTGGGTGAGTTAAAAGATTAATCAACTAGAACACCAAGATTATTTTCTTCCATAGCACTGTGAAGGTTATTCCCATCAAAAGTACAGTCATGATTCAAATCATTACATCTGACATGCATTATCTTGCATATATTATTATCAAAAGCTATCTGCGATTTGTTCGCCCAACTCATCAAATAATTAAAACCCTTTTGCAAAGCAGCAACATCTTCATCACAGCCAACAACACCCTCAATATCATCAGAAAATTTAATTAATTCATTGACCAGTCCTTCATCTGTGTCACTGATGTCCAAAGTGTTTCACACGATTAATTAATTGACGATAATTGGCCGCAGAAATGTTTTACGGGCAGAAACCTTTCAACTCAAGAAACGTCTCTTCATAACAGCATCATTGTGGTTGTTAAAGTATAAACTTCAGGTGAGTGTAATGTATTATTGTAATAGTGGTGGCATTTGTTTTTTCATTGTATTCCTACATAGTGAGTGCTAGAGCACTCTCTGAGATATATCAGACGTTTGTGTGCCCTTCCTCCCAACTATGTGTATGTTGTGTTATAGAAAATTAATAAAGCTGTTTGGTGCCAGGATGTGGCGCCATCTGTGAATGAAGTTAACGTTAGCATATGTCAAAGATAATAAATTTTCAGTAACAAGGAGGGGTTGTGACCCCTTACTAGAATGCTCCTTATCCCAAACTATCATACCACAAAATTTGGTTGTGATTGGCCCAGAGACTTGGGAGTAGTTAGATAACGGACAAACAGAACAGACATACAGATTTTCGTGTTATATTTATAGACCAAGAAAGTTGGTCAAACGGAAAATCAAGAAATCGAAAAACAATACGAAAAGTGATTGCTGAAAATGTAAAAAAATAATAAAATTTCTTTAAATACATAAAGTCTAAGCAAAATGTTAAGATGAGAATATGGTCAATGAGGGATGACACAAGAATGCTCAAATTTGATGATCGTAAGGTGGCGGGGTTATTAAATTCTACATTTTCTTCAATTTTTTATTAATGAAAATGTAATCAATTTTCTTCATCTTGAACTGTTAGTAGATATAAACAAGATCGAAGAAGATTATCACATAAATTCTGAGCTTGTTAGAAAAAAAACAGGGAATTTTAAAGAATGGTAAAACTTCTAGGCTAAATCGTATTTCAAGGATTTGGTTTTGAAGGATTGGATGCATATGTAAGGCATTTGCTACTATTTTTTTAAGTCTTTGAACAGTGGTCAAGTGCCAGAGGATTAGAAGTTGGCTAATGTTATTCACCTTTTTAAGGTAGGTGATAAAATTTCTCCCGGTAATTATAGATCAACTTGTTTTATATCAGTGGTGGTGAAAGTTTCATAAAAGATGCTTTGCAAAATCATTTAACAAAGTTTATATTTTTGTTGGATAATGTTTTCATTAGGGGATCAGAAAATCTTGCTTTATTAATCTTTTGACATTCTTTAATGATGTTATTACCCATAAAGATGATGGTACGGATATCGATTTGGTGTTAATTGATTTTCAGAAAGTATTTGACAGGTTTCATATAAAATACTTGTTTAGAAAATTATTTCTGTCGATGTGGGTGATAAATTGGCTAATTGGATAGAAAAATAACTCAATGTAAGATAGCCGAGAGTTGTTATAAATGGAGTTCAACCAAACTTGGGACCTTTGCTCTTTTTGAATTAAGGACATTATAAGGTGGTTGTTGAAAGCGGGTAACAGAAAGCACATCTACTGCCACCACTACCTCTTCCTTCAAAATCACTCTGACAATCGCACAATGTATATCATGCTTTAAGTATATACATAGTGAGTTCTTAAAGCTTATATAAAACTTTTGGTGATGTAGTAATAAACACTGTAATAGTATGTTATGTTATAAATTATCTGTGTGAAAGTTAGGATTTTCGTCTTATTTATCATAGCATCCATCCCCTCATTTTTTTAAAGTTCATAACCCGGACAAAGAGCGAGTACCTCAGTTTGACTTCTATAATTTTCTAACCTTTCAATTACAGGAGTTAATCTTATCCTTAATACTCTTTGTGAGTCAACCCGTTTTTTTTGTTTTGTTTTGTTTCACCTGCGGCCCAGCATGGCCAGGTGGTTAGGGAGCTCGACTCGCAATCTGCGGGTCGCGGGTTCGAATCCCAGTCCCACCAAACATGCTCGCCCTTTCAGCCGTGGGGGCGTTATAATGTGACGGTCAATCCCACTTTTAGTTGGTAAAAAGAGTAGCCCAAGAGTTGGCGGTGGGTGGTGATAACTAGCTCCCTTCCCTCTAGTCTTACACTGCTAAATTAGGGACGGCTAGCGCAGATAGCCCTCGTGTAGCTTTGCGCGAAATTCAAAACAAACAGTTTCACCTGCACGCACCCCTTTTTTGTACAAAGAACATGCTTATCTTCAATATTTGATGAATGTCTCCAAATAAATTACTTACCGAATTAACAACAGACAATTCTTGTCTCATCTCTTCAAAACCAGTTTGTTTGATTTTTTGGAATTTTAGAACCAAAATCTCACTATTCCTTATCTCCATATGTAGCAAAACATCAAACCTAATGAGCAATGATCACTTTCACCCAGATGTTTCCCAACTCTACCGTGTCAACCACTTCTACATTAGAAGATAACAATAAATTTAAAATAGCATTGTTCTAAGTAGGTTAAAAATTGGCGAAGAAAGCCATCCCGAACAGTTTCTAAAATCCTGATTTGACTTTAACATTTCCCAATGTATGTGCCTAAAAATATAATCCCCATGATTATAACTTGATTAACAACTGAATTATTCATCTCACTTTTGAATTTCATTAGCATCATTTGTCAGATTTGTAACAAAATCAAACTGAAAGCCTTCTTCTAACCACTATTATAACAGCTACAAATTCTAAGTTAATTTCTCACAGTATATTGTTACGACAGCGGAAGTCATGTGACGCTGGAAGCATGCGCGCTGGAGTTTCTAGAAGGATCATGACTGTTTCTGGTAACTCTAGTCTTTTCTAGGCGCCCTCTATTTTAGTATATAAGCTCGGCAAATAAAGCAGAGATAATTGCAGATAGACAGATATAGAGACAGATAATTGAGTCAAGCGAGCGGTAGTGACCGTAAGTAAAGTGTGTGAATCGTTGTGAATTATAGCGTGTGTTTAAGTTAAAGTGACTGTGGAAATTTTGTGTATTGCAAAGTTGTATTGAGAAAGAATAAACTAGTTTTATTTGAGAAAGGACTTGTATCGCTGAAGTTCATCGGGAAGAATTTATACCGGAAATTAACAGACGACCAGAGACGTAACAATATAAATAAATATATATATATATATATACATATAAGTATCATTTCGCATTGTTAGCTTAGTATACGGATTTAGGGCTAACTTGAATTCCAAAGCTGGCCGAACCTCGAAATATATTATTCAGATTATTGCCGAAAATATCAGCGAGGATGCTTAACTTAAGAATAAATGCGACGAATTACAATCATTATAAGTATTTGTTTTATAATACTTAAATTGATATATCAAACTAATTACATTATTTATTGGGTTAGTTTATATTTCTGATCACAACATGGTGACATACTGTTACAGTTTTGCTGTTGCTGGAAACTGTAAATTCCGAAATAGCCGAAGACTATTTCTGGTTTTGCTTAGTGTTCATATTCATATTTGCAGTTTTCTGCCAGAATATTTTATTGCTAAGTAAACACAAGTATCACAGACATAAACTCTGTTCATAAATATTTTTTCCTTGAGAGCGACTAATTTACCAAAATTTCACTCCATCGGCACACGAATATGTCCTTAAGTGCTATCAATGTTTTATACTATTATATGTATATATATAATATTTCCGTTTTTCATAAACTTTTTAATTTTCATAGTTTTAGCTCTAGTCACGTGAAAGAAATGTCTGAATAACTGCAGCTGCATGTATTAACTACAGGAGCCAAAAGTGGTAGAGTCCATGTTTGTTTAGAAAAACAAAGTGTAATTGGAAATACTTTTTTTTGTTGTTAATTTCGAGAAGAATTTGTCAATTCCAATTTTCATTAAGATTCATAATAGTTAATGAATCTATAACGGACGTACTTATGTTTTATTTTTAGGTAAGTTTATTTGCTACAACGACAAGGTCGAGTTAGATTTATTCATTAATATTAAATAATATGTTTCCACAACACGTTAACTGAGTAAGTTGGGGGTAACTAAGTGGTCCTGTTACTAATAAGTACAATATTAACAGTATTACTACAATAATTAGTACTGGTGAGTAGTCGTAGTGCTAAATATCCTAAGCCTAATCTACCCTAATTCTAAATTTTACTATTGTGATGTTAATATTACTTGTAAAATTGTAGTATTACGCTCTAGTGTTACCACTAGCGTACTCTTAACTCCAATAAGAGTAATTTCTAAGTGAATGACCATGTTATTTTGGAACAATGTTAGACCTAACTTAAAATGGTTAACTACTCTTTCTATATATTTCTATACGTTGTAAGTGATATTGAGTATTCTGGTTTTTTGTTTGCTTGTGCCAAATAGCTGTTGTTTACTGTTATCCTGGGATACAATAACATTTGTTTCAAGGCAAAATAAGCTTGCAGACATATTTAACTTTTAACTTAAGTTAAAGGACCAAATGATTCCCTGTTGTCTGTATCATACTAGTGTTAGTAATAATTTCATATGTTACACTGTGTTATATTACTATTAGTTATATTATTTATTATGCAAACTTTAAGCTCTAAACTTAAACATGTCTGCAATCTTATTTTCCCAAAACTAAAACGGTTTAAATTGGAGCCTAGTCTGCCTTTTTCCAAATCTTAAACTTGTATCTTCTCATCACATTATCTTCAGAACACAGCACAAAGAAATCAGAAACCTTCATGCTACTGATTTCCTGGATAATGTTATACATTTATATAAACATGCATTACTCACCTATTCTCAAATAAGTTAGAGATCTTAACCTACCTCATAAGATAAACCCTCCTTCCCCAGAATCAAACTAGTACTGGTAGCCTTTCCTTTCTTAACAATGAACAAAAGTGTACAATGTATTTCAAGTAAGGCATAACTAATGATTTATGAAGAGTTACGGCTGAGGTTATATGCATGATTGTCGTGTATATAATCAAATGAAAGCAATTAAGCAGCCATTGTTCAAGCAATCTATAATTTTGATTGTATACAAAACTGTTTTAAAATTTTACGAGTCACTAGGTTAAAGTTACTCTCCATATACTGTCCACAAGAGTGTGTATAATCATGAAAGTTACAAGAAAATTGCTATTGTGCATATATGTTGGTCTTTCCTACAGTCGTTGCATGGTTGCAGAGTCAATAGTAAAAAGAAAAACTCCATGGACACTGTGAAAGGAGTTTACAGTTTTTTCTTAAGTATATATATATATATAATAGTTTTTGAACATTATTTATTGCTCTTTGCAATGGGCACAGCACAGATAGACCATTGTGTGACTTTGTACTTTACTGAAACAAAGCAACTACTTCAGCTACATAATAACCAAACCTAATTAAAAGTAACCAAATATTCACTAACTTAATCTGGCCAACCAGAGCTTACCGATGACATAGAAAATATACGATCATTGTTCTTTATGGAAACAGTCAAAGGTAGACAACAATTACTATTTTTATACTGTTACTCATGTTTAAAAAAATATAATGATAATTTCCATGTTGCTTCTCACAAGAAAGTAAGGATTGTTCAAGAAAATCAGATGAGATGGGTTAGGCTCAGATCATTAACTCCTGCGACCTTGAGAACTTTGCCTGTTACACTAAATCCTGCTATGTGTCAACACTTGAGTGATCACGGTATAGCCATGTATTAATCCAAGTTTTGTTATTTAAATAAAAGTTATTATCCAGTTTATATGATTACTTAATACCAACATTTTGATTTGACTGAGTACTGTTTTGTGTTCACTTACAGAGAAACACACAAAGCTACTACTCGTCATTTTATCCCATGTCTTCAGGGCTAATAAAAAATAAAACAAGCATTCTGTTTCTTCAAAACGTTGCACTGTGCACTGAAAAATAAACATTAAATATATATACATTAAATTTGTGAATTTTCATCTGGTATCCTTTTTTTATATATATCCCTGTCTTGTTTTTTGTCTACTGATCCATTTAGAATAACTGGTAATCGTGATTGGGGTTAGTTAGTGCTAGCTAGTGAATCTACAATTGAATGGAATTATTCAACACTAATATATACCCACACGGATCAGATATCTGTTATGTATATACCCTATTATACAGTAAGTACATGATCATCTCGTATATGGTCACTACCTGGAGTTAATTACCTCTTTCATCTTGTGATAAGTGTTTATAAATAACTCATCACAACTTTCTGAACTTGACATCAAGTAAGCAGACCCTAGCTCTGGTTATAATGCCTAATTTGTGACTCAACAAAAACCTCGGTCAATTCTTTCCTTATAATTTCTAATGTAAGATCTCAGTGCTACTTAAAATATTTGTATTGACATACAAAAGTTAAATATAAGTATTTGATGTTCGTACTCACTAGTATAATACTGGTATAGATGGTGTTGGTTCGTAACTTCAGTTATGTAGCAATCATTGGTATGTAAAAATGTATGTACATTCGCATTGAACAGTACTCTTCAGTACTGCAAGATCACATATAAAAATATTTGTTGTTCTCAAACTGTGAACGATATAAAAACTTTCATTGATCAAAGAGAAGTACATGTAAAATTTTGTTATGGTTATTAAGTACAAATACATTACCTTTACAATCTTCCCAGTACAGAAAAGAAATGAGGACTTATTCCACCTGTTAAATTTGAAAATATTTTTATGTACTTTGTAACAGTACCTGACCATTTTAACATAAAATTTAAGAACAATGAGAGATTTGTTGTATATCTAGGCTGTTCCATCTACTATACTAAAAAAAATTTGTAAAATGAGCCCTTATCATTTAAAGATTTATCAAGCATCCTTTAAATTAACTGCATCCATCACATCTGAAAGCAACCCATTCCAAACGCCAACCACCTTGTTAGAAAAATAAAGTTGTCTTAGCTGAAGATGACTCCTACCTCTCCAAAATTTATATTTGTGTTCCTTTGTCTTACCATTCTCATGTGAAAAAATATGATGCAACAATGCTATCAATTCTCTTAACAATCTTAAACACCTCTAATTCTTTTATTATTATATCCAAGAGAAAATTTCAGAGATCATAATGCATCTTGTATAACAAACTTTCCATCCCAGATATCATCCTTGTAGCCCTTCTTTAAATGTTTGTCCAACATTTCAATGTCCTTCATCAGGTAAAGACTGAATACAATACTCCAAATTTATTGACCATTCCTTCATCTATATCACTGATGTAAACCAAAAAGAGTAAAGCTTTAGGACTGAGCCTTCAGAAGTGTTGTATGTTTGTGTGGATTTTAAATTCAGTCAAAAATCACTTGTGAATTTTACAAATATTTGTAACAAAAAATGTAATTACATGAAAACTGTATCTAATTCATGATTTTGGAAATAGGCTTGTAATGTTTACACCTAGTGTTAGGATGTGTAACAAATGTCTTGTATAAGGAAATAGGCTGGTAATGTATACACCTAGTGTTAGGATGTGTAACAAATGTCTTATATAAAGTGTTCCAACCATTACTGTGTTTATTGTGTCCCAGCTGGCTCGATGAGCTCTGGTTTGAGTGAAATGCATCATTGGAAGTGGACATGACAAATATAGTGTAAAAAAATTCATAAATAATATTCAATGTT